GTCCTTCGAATGCTTTTGTCCACACACACATACATGTAAGTGTGCATGTGCCTCCAGTATTTTTCCCTCCACCGTACCTGTGGGAGTGCAATTAGCAATTTTGGTGCTTTTCAGAAGAAATGGCACTGTGCAATAGCTGATAATGTTGTGGTGCCAGTATAATTGTCTGATGCACTAAATTCAGTAAAATCCTTGTGCAAGAACATTGGCTAGATGTGATGGCTGCTCTCAAATAGCGGGCTTGGCGGGATGGGAATCAGTCACCGTTAGGATATTTCTTAAGCTGTGAGTTGTACGGAAGGCAAAGAAGAGACACAAGCAGAATTAATACTTGCTGTGTAACTTCAGTCCTGCTCATAACGATTTTGTAAACTTTTCAAATGCTGCCCAGTGAGCATGACTTTTCAGATACTCAAAGTGGATCAGGCTGGTTTCTCTTTTGCAATGTAACGTTTTTTTTGTTTTTTTTTTTTATTTTATTTTTCTGCAACACTGCAAAATGTCTTTCCACTATTTAATTAGCTTAACTACAAGTGTCTATGTATGGAATTTGGCAAATAGAATTTCTGAATACTTTGCATGGTAGAATGTATTTTTTCCCAAAGTACTTGCTCATTATGGATTATTTGTGTCATTGCTGTGGCACAGTCTAGATACTAAGGTACCAGTTTTTGGTTTTGATCTGGTACTTCTCAGTTGCCGTCCTTGTGATTTTCAAGGGGCATCCAGGTATTCTATGTGTTTTTTAAAAGCTAAAAGTAACAGGTGTACTAGTCCTTCCAGCTACAAAATGATAATCCTTCTGAGCATCAATTTGCCTGCCTGCCCTGCTGAGGAAGCGCTAGCTACCACCAGAGTGGAGAAGAAAAGCAAACTACTTTTCTTCATAGCAGCGCAGTGGTCCCAAAGATGAAATGATCATTCAGGTAGCAAAACAATTTCATTAATATAGATTTACCTTAATGAGGTCGAACGCCCAGCTGCTCTCATGGGAGTTCCTCAGCTTCCTTTTGTCCAGGCAGTTTCCTCTTTTTCTTGTTTGATGCTTCACTTCTACTCGTTTGTCATAATGTTTTCTTTCTGTTGTATTTCCACCTCCCCAGTGGGGAGGCTTACCTGGTAGACACACTGCCACTATGTGAAGGAGAAATTTAAGCTTACAGACATTTTTTGGGCACAACCATGGAACCACAGAGCCTCTTCCAAGTCCACCGCACGTGTGCTTTTCCCTTGGCTCCCCAGCCTGACAGTCGTTTCTAGGCGGATTTAAAAGTGAGTCTTCATCCAGGTGCTTTTCAGGGTGCTTTGAAGTTGTAGACTGTCCATTTGAAAGCAAAATATTTGAGTATCCTTAGGACTCAAGGTTCAAACAATTTCTGGCTTGAATATGTTAAAAAGGATAAATGAAACCTGGCTCCCCGCCCCCCCCCCCGCCCCAGTATGCAAAGGCATGTCCTCCTTTATGTAAATTCATATTCTAGATTTTTTTTTCAGTTAATGCATTTTTTTCATATGTTTCAGCAGATAGTCTGCTCTCCTGTATTTAAGTCATCCTTCTATTTACAGTTGAGCAGGATGACAAAAATAACTGTGGTCTCGTAGTGAATCAGTGGAATTTTCCTGCATTTCTCCCCTGATGACTCGGCTGACTCCTAGAGAGCCTAAATGCTTTTGCATTTTTGCTTGCAAGAATGAGGTGGTTTCCCTCCTGCATTCCTGTATTTTTCCCTGTCTTTGAGTCTCTCTGGGGTTTGATTTTGTTTACTAAACAAACAGTAGCTACAGCATTGCATATTGGGTCATAGATCACTGCCTGAAATTAAGGTTGCTGCATGCCTTATTGAGGGTGGATTAAAAAAACCCCGTGGCCTCGTGACAGCTGATTTAAATGTGTATATTTTGGGGGGAAGGGGTTCCAGATCTCCTCAGGGATTGCATTGTTAATTGTGTTTGGTTATTGCTTTTGCAGCTGTTAGTTTCTTCTCTTTGTTTAATGAAGAAGTAATATTTTTTATGCTAGTCCTCTTTTCCTTCGCTCTTTTTTGGCACAGGAAGGCAATCGTTGCTCGTTAATGTTAAAGAGCGGTGGTTGTTTTTAAAAACTCGCGTTGTCCCCATTTACTGCAGTTTTGTATCATCAGATAAAATACCTATTCTGCGAGGAGTCATAAAGATATGCTGTAACAGCTCATCCTCCCATCCCCCCCTTCTCCTTCAGTTATCAACAGTGCGTCAGTGGAAATTTCCACCCTTTGCTAATGTGAGAGAAAGCACAAAGTTGCAAAGCAGCCTTTGGAGAAAAAAAATATTGCCGTTTTAGGAACACAATGAAAAGCAGCATATGACTTGCAAGCAGAAGTGAAATTAAAATCTTGAGAAACAGTGGGACTAAAACGGTGCAGCGAAGAGCACGATTTGTGATATGAACGAATGCTCTTGCTGAGGGAATGGGGCACAACAGTGGTGGTGGATCGCCAGCTAGAATTTCTCCCCCCATCCTCCTCCTCTTTGTTAGTTGCAACTGTGAGAGGATTTGGGAGGCTTCTTCCCAAGGAGAAGAGTTAAGTGTCATCTGTTAAATTTACCAGTGGCTTTTAATGTCTTTAACAGAAAGTATGACTTTCCCTTTTTAAGGGGTGTGCATCCTTCAGATGTTGTTGTGCTGTATTTCTAATGAGTTGTCCAAGCTTAAAAATTCTTTCTCTCCCTAAACTTTTAACCGGGTGGCATCTCTTAGTTCTGGAGACTAGAAAATGGTAGGCAGTTCAGTTTTCCAAATATATGAAGCCGAACCCTGTTACACATTGAAACCTGTGAGGATCTGCGAGGAGGACAGAGCCCACCAGAGTTCCTCCAAATCCTTTTTGAGACAAGTTATTCCTGTAGCTCTTGGTAACTGTGCTGCAGTCAGAGGAGCAGCACCTTTGCTGATGTGATCTGGCACTGGTCCCTTGGCTTCAGTGATGCTCGGCCACAGACCACGCCAGCTGGGCATCTCTTTTGGAGGACTTGTTGGTTCAGTACGGGCGGCAGGGAGGTTTTTTTCCATCAGACCCCTCACGAGAATTCAGTGCTTCAGTCTGGTCTTTCTGAAAAGGACTTCAGAGCCCAAATATGGCTATTAAGATTTTCAGGGTTAGGGTGTCTGGCGAAGAAGTTTCTTCACTGTGTTCTGCATGGGTGGATTCCACCCCCGTGCAGTAATTCAGCACACGCTGCTTGAGTCATTTCTGGCCCGATGGGTCTGCTGTATGCAATATTTTTGATCTAACTCATTTAGTTGGGTGAAACTGAACTCCACGCAGCAGGAAGAACACAAACATGTCTGTTTTTCATGACCCCGTCTTCCTATATTTCCTGTTCAGCTTCTGGCCTTGGGGACTTACCGTTCACAATCACCTTTATGAATGAGGACTGTGAAGGTGATGCTCACGCTGCAGTGGACTTACTAAGAATCCATACCTTGTGCAGAACAAATTCCTCTCTGTTAGGTGGAGTTCTAAAATCAAACTAGGATGCTTAATCCTGCTTGGGTAATACGACTTCGTTTAAGGGATATCAATTTCAGGTTGTACTGGTGCTTCATGGGGAGGTGTGCTGGAGTGGACTAGGAGGAAAGGGGAGCTGTAATGAGGGGATGTGTAAAGATTAAAATGAAATAGCTAGGTGCAAAGTGCTGCGCTGTGCATTTAGGCTTTAAATTACTGCCAGTCTTGGAAATGAGGTGAGTGGTTGGTTGTCTTCAGCCCAATTTCTGAGACAGTTGCAGTGTCTTTTCATTGTACTGTAGTTAGTGCCGTGTCAAATGCAGACAAAGTGATTCAAAAGTGTTCTGGTTACAGCTCTGTTGACAATACTGGTTCACTCACAGCATTTGAAGGGAGGAGGGGTGGCCAGTGACATGGCTCGCTCACATTTTGCAGTGGCGTGATGGCTGGCATTAGGTTGCTCGCAGGAAGAGTAGACGTGGTGTTGCTAATGAGTTTAAGGTACATCTCGCATTAAGAGACAGGACCTGAATTTGTGTACCTGAGGTTAAGTTAGTGTGCAGTGCGTAGTTGTGTCCCTTGCCTGAAATGGGGCTCATGAAGTCCAAGACACTTCTTTGCTTGTCTGAGCTTACTGGAGTTTTAGAGTCTTGCAAAGTTATAGTTGAGCTCATAAAGAAGGTTCAACAGAGGAGTTTATTGCTCAGGTAACCTCAGTGACTGAAAATATTAATGAGGAGCAACTCCCTCCTTCCTACAGGTAGGCAGTTGGCTTTTTCTTTATAGGTGTCAAAGATAGCCGTGTGGGGACGTGATGTTCTTACCTGGAGCAGTGCCTGTGTGGGAGCGAGATCTTTTCAGTCCAGCCGAGGTCAGCACGGCAGTGTGCTTGTCGGGTGCCAACTGTGCGAGTGGGCACTGCCTGCACGCGGCTACAGCTTCTGCCCTCGGATTGAAAACTGAAGACAGGTTTGCATCAGAGATGTGTCTAGTTTGGGATAAGTCCATCTCCTTGGCTTTCTTTTGCTGTTTTGTTTTAATTTGCATTCAGCTCCGAAGCAGAACTTTAAAGGAAGAAATGTGCCTGTAACTATATGAGCTTGAGATGTTTCACACTGGCATCTGCTCCCCAAAGAAGCAATGCTGTGAATTCGAAGGAGGAGAATGCATGTTGTAACTTAAATGAATGTGCCACCCTACATTTTTTTTAAGACTATGCAAATCAAGGTGTGGAAATGAGTGGAACAGGTACAAGAGTAGTAAACTCTCTTTAATCTCCTTGGGTAAGCAGTGCTGTACAACAAAGAAAAGTTCAGGCTGAGCCTGCTTCAATAGAACTTTTCGTATGTGAAATCAAGATAATACTGAGCTTTTATGTAAAACAATTCTGGTACCAAAATGTAAGAAAAAATTAGAAAGTTCTATTTAAGAAATTCCACAGAACAGTTACTTGAATTAAAGTTGTTGCAGTACTGGTATTTTTTTTTATTTTGTGTATGTTTCTCATTGCAGGTATTTTTTGATAGACTTAGAGGGCCCGCCTTCGATTGTATCGACCATGATGGATCATTTAGGACGTGATATTGATATAATTAGACGTGCCTTTGTAAAGCATCCTGTATCAAAGACAGAAGAATGCAGTGGCATGATCCCAGTGAACTATGAAGATAAACTAATTGCCAAGAAGTGAATATTCCAAATAGCTTGTTTGAAATTTAAAAAAAAAATTTTTTATTCCTGCATTGGAAAACAATTGTGGCAACTATTGTCCATCAAAAATAATCAGTTTTGGCCATGTTGTGTGTGGTATAGTACACTGTCTTCAGTTACTGTAACATTTGAGGTTTCTTTTTGTTTCAGATAATTTGAATAGGCTTAATCTGTATGCTCATCTTGATATATGACAACTCTGAAAATGGATTTTCTTTTCTTTTAGAGCATTTCATTGATAATGAAGATTTATCCATCATCAGAATGCTAAAAATAGTATTCTTTTCTAAAGACAGATTACTTCAGAATATGTATATTTACATAAGAGATTAAGAAGTCTACAGTGTAAATATAGCAGTATAGGATATGATTTGTTGGAGGGTTTTTTTTGATTGCTTTTGGAAAAAGGTAATAAAAGTGTGATTAAAAATAAAACTTGACTCATTTTTTAAAAGCCGAAAAGGTGCAAGAAAAATTAAGTTACACTGCCAAAAGACACGTCATACTTCATTCATTAAGGTAATGACTCTGTTCAAAGTACAGGTAAAAAATTGTTCTCTATGGAAAAGGCCAGATAATTCCAGGTGGCAGTTTAGAGAATAACCATGTTTATATATGAACAGAAGAATAAAAGATGCTTTGTTTTACCATCAGCTAGACCCAGGCGGACATTTCAAACTGAGAAAAACACCAGAACAAAGGTATTAACGTGTATTTTGTTATTCTTTTTCTCTTATAAAACCAGGAGAAACAGCAATGTGTGTGAAAGATGACATTAATGTAGTACAACCTCCTGCAGGTCTGATGTAAATTCAGTAGTTTGCAAGCGGATCTCCATATTTCCTACACGCTACTGAAGGAGGGCACGGGCCATTTCTCCCAACTAAGGAGTGTGTGTGTAATTTCTGTAGAAAAAAGTAAGTTGACAAAGTAAGTTGGGCAAAGAGGACGTTGTTTACATGAATAAGCTTCACCTAGAAGCTGCCTCCTCTGGCACTCCAGCGTTGTGTGTTGCCAAAGGGAAGGCCAGTCTGGAGGCTGAGGGCGGATTCCCAGAGACCTGCGACCAGCTGCTCTCTAGAGTGCTGTTTCATCACGGGTTTGTTCTCTTGTGGAGGTAGCTGGGTCATGTTTTTAGGAGATGCTGCTTTTTATTCTAGGTGCAGAACTTCGGGGGAGAAAGAAATGAACATTTCTGCTGAATATCTTCTTTTTTTAAGGAAAAAGTGTATTAGAAAAATGAAAGAGGAATTTTTCTTTCTGTGAATCTTTATTTAGGAGACATGAATGCGTGTGTGTTTGTGGCTTTGGTGGGTCCCTCCACCCCATGATTTGTCTTTTCCTGGTTTTAGATCTGCTTTTCTTTTAAGAGCAGACTGTCACATTTTGTCTCTTTCCCGGAAAAAATATTGGGAGAATAGAGAGAATGCACTACACGCTTACTGAAGCCGGATCTGTATTAGGTGTGCGGTTGTTTTTTTTTTTTGTAGTTACTGCCAGTTTCGATCATGTGGTTGCTGTGTGCACCGGTGCCTGCTCCAGGCAGGGCTTTTCTTATCAATGATTTTTGCCTGTAGGACAAACCTTCCTTCCATATGCGTGGGAGCTTAGCCAGGAGGAGCTGTGGGTTTGTAATTCTGTGCTATGAGTTCAGCTCCCTGAGCTGCCCTTTCTGGTGGGCTGCTGAAAATTCAGATTCACAGTGTAGAAAGTGCAAACTACAAGTAGGGAGATACAGAATACTTTAAAGAACATGTTTTACTCAAAAGTTTCTCAGAAGCTTTTCTTTGATAGAAAGTGAACAGAAAGCCCATAGTCTAAAGTCACTTTGCCTCTGACTAGGGCTTTGGGCCTGAGATTTCATTTGACTAGAAAGGAGAGTATATAAGCTTTCAGCTTCACGAAATGAAGATTTGTCAGCAGAGCCTGTACACATATGAATGATGTATGTTTGTCTTTATTCAATTTCCTTTAGTGTAGTATTAAATTTTGCATTTAATTTGTTCCAATTTCTAGATTGATGCCTGCATTCGGTAGGAAAATCATAGAATGCAACAGGCCCTGCTAAAAAGCCTGTCCCCATCTTTCTTATAGGCCCCCTGTAAGTACTGAAAGGCCGCAATAAGGTCTCCCCTCCCTCTGGGGCTGAGCAGCCCCAGATGCTCATTGGAGATTTAGTTATTAAATATGTGACGTTATTTGTTGTGAACTGGGACCTTTGGTCAGTCAGACATTCATGCCCCTCTTTTCTGTGGGGTCCATTTCTGATCTTTACAGAAGATTGATGGGTGTCAAGAGCAGAAGACTTGGGCTCCCGAGTCCAGCTCATCCCAAGAGCGGATCAGCAGTAGCAGGTCTCTCGGAGCCGCAGCTGATGCTGAGTGGATACAGCAGTGCCGGCTCTGAGGGCTGGTGGTCTCCAGTAGGCCACAAAGCAAGGTGTAGGGAGATGTTACCAAGCCTCCTTTCCTGTCTTCGGAAGTAGTGAATGTGCAAAGGGGAATGACTGAACGTCATCTTTGCCTTTGGGGTAGAAATGCTGACCACTGAAACCAGTGGCCACAAGCGGGGCAGCGCTTGCTGGACTGGTGCGTGGTTACATAAGCACTGGTGCTTTCTCAGCAGCAGGATTTATTTATAAAAAGTCTGCTGAATAGCTGGCCCTCAACTGGGTGTACTATTTTCTTCATAATTGATAGTTTCTAATAGGAGCTTTTTTTTTTGTTTAATACAGGGTGGGGTAGGGGAGGCTATGGAAGGAGTCTTGGGTTGCAATTTGTTTAGCCCAGTCAGCCACCCAGACTGGTAGTTAGCTATTTTGGGAAGCTAATGCACAGCAGTGTGCGCCTTCTCTCTCAATAGCTGTAAAAGCATGAATGGACACTGGAGTGTATCAGAAAATATCAGCAGTTCTGGGTTTGAGTGAACAGTCTGCGTAGTGCCACGGAAGAAGGTGAGTAACAGTACCCTGAATGGTCATAAATTCTCCCTAGAGAGGAAAGCAGACTTTATCACATCTTTTGCCTGTTTGATCATTGATAGCTGGTTTGTCCCGCTGGGCTGTGAGCAACTCTGGATCTGCAAGGGTAAAATTTCAGGACACTGTGTGGTGTTGGAGAGCCAGAAGAGCCTGTGCAGCCAAACCGTGGCCAAAGACCTAAAATATCGAACTCCATTGGCATTCCCAAAGGCCTGAACGGTTTGAATACCAGTACTTTAAATTTTGTTTACTAAAGAATCTGATAGTGAAGCTCTTCAACCCTTCCTTAGATTATGTTCCCAAGTGTGTAAAATAAGTAGTTTTATGCTCCTAGATGCTCTGGCTTTCTTTTTTGTGGATTGTGGAGAAACACTGTGTTGGGTAAGTATTAAAATAACAGCTGGCAGTTTTCCTGGCTCAGGAATGTTTTCTCCGTCTTAACCTTCAGCAAACAAATGAGCACGAATGGTTTTATGGTGGAGATCTTGGGAATGTCTTCAATCACTCCTTTTTCCTGAGCTTCCATCTCTTTCTCAGCTGAATCTTGCACTATGGAGGTTTCTTCCACAGACTGAGGGCTCTGTGCTGTCAAAGCACTCGGCACTCTGCTTGCAAAGCACTTGCTGTGGCCACTGGCTTGACCCCAGGAGGTTTGGGCGCGCAGTGATTTGCTCCCACGGGCCGAGAGCGCATCTGCCGTGCATCTGTTGAGTCTGTCAAAATCCTGTTTGTTGATAGTGTGAGCTTAAAGAATTTCAGGATCCTCAGTGTCAGCAGAATATTTCTGTCAATAAGTGTTTTAATGGCACTCTGAAAATCCTCTTTCAGCTGGACTTCTGCTTGCGAGTAAACGGTTGGCGCTGCAGGCTGAGCTGGGTACAGCAAATGTGCAGGGCTGCACGGCTTTGGAAACCATCCGAGGAGCAGTTTAAATGGCAACCGTCGACGTGACTCATGGGCTCCTGCTGTTCAATCTAGGCTTTGATCACTGAAACACATCACCTGTCACTTAACGAGGTCAGTTTCTGTTTAGTAAGCTGCTGCACTCTGTGAAGGAAGACTTTGAAACTGAACGCAGTCCTGTTGGAGTGGTGGAAATTTCTCTTCAGGCGTGAGGAGTCTGCCACGCGTGTTGTGCTCGGAGGCTCCTAGGATCTGTCCAGCACTGCCGCTGGCTCCAGCGGCCGCCTTCAAGAATCATGAGGCAAGCCCCCCCAGATATTTTGAACTCATGGCGTGTAATTATGGCCTTAAAAAAACATGACTATTGTTTAAAATGTGAGGTTCTTTTTATTGGCCTTTTAGATTTGATGATTCACTTTTTTCAGACTTTGGTGCTGGCATGATTTTCATGTAGCATCTGACTGAGGAGCTCTCAGGAAAACACAGCTACAGCAAATGAGATACTTGGTAAATTCATGGGGACTGGTGCTATGTCCCTCCACCCACTGCAACAGAACAAGGGAAATTAAAAAGGCAGTCATTATTGTGTCCTTTCCTAGAATTCTGAGGTTCAGATATGATAAAAATGAGAACTGATATGGAGCCAAAACATGCATTTTCCCAACTGCTGCACGAAGGGAAGATTAAAAATGTGTTACTCTCCGTGACCTATGTAATGTGTTGCTTTCTTAGTGCTGCTTCAACAGACCTTTAAAAACATGCAGGCTGCAGCTGGTGGACTACCTTAGGCTAGCGCTGCTCGTCTTTGCACAGCTATTTGTGTGACGCTGCGGAGGAGTGGGAGAGTCACCCCTTATTGAATGCTGGTTAAGAGGGGGAGTGATGCATTGACAGATTCCAGTTCTGGAGTATTCAAGGTTGCCTTCTAAAAGCATTTTTTAATAGGACATAATGCTCACTGTAAACCTGGGAGAGTGTTTTTCCCTGTTATTTTTGCGTTGTGCTTAGGCTGCCAAGTCAGCCCTGTTTGAAGAATTCTAAATGGCACATGGGAAATCTGTCTTATTAAAATCTTCAACGCATTTATGTTGGGGATA